TCTAGCATCGACTTTGTATAAGAGATTTTTCTAGGTACCAAAGAGCTCCCAAGAAAGCATAAGGCACAATACTTGACTTCCAAGGGTAGCAATGGGATCGAAGTTAGAATTTTTATCAGAATTCCTTAGTGGTGGCATGCCTAAATTCTAAAGAGTGTAAAAACTCCAGCTCCACTCCAGCAAAAAATTATCCTGGAAAATGATGTTTTCTTAAAGTAAATGTCTACAGAGAAGGATTTAAAAGCCAACTTTAGCGCCAGTTACTTAAGAATACTTTCTCTTGAAATTATTCCATGGTGTTGGACAATCCTGGACATATTTTAAAAGAAGACTCAAGAGTTAAGCTCCTTTAGATGACAAGAAAGGTTTTTGAACTCTTAATACCCGATCTATCCAGTGATCATCCTCATACTCCAAATGCTGCTAAAACCCAGCAAGTAAGCTGGGGAAAGAGAACCCCAAAACAAAACAAAACAACCTCTGCCAACAGTCAAAAATCAATGCCACACAAACTGAAACTCCTTCACTTGTCTCACAGATTAGGCCCACCCCCGCCAGCACTGCTAAGACCATTCCTTTACTTGCAGTTCACACATACTCTAAACAAGCTTGGGCATATAGTTTTCCAACACACTGAAAATTAGAAGTAGCAAGTTAGAAGGGTAGAAGTTGCTAGCATAAGCATTGTGGGAAGAGCAAAATGTGACGGGCTCCAAGTCAAGAAAAAGAATACCTACTGCGAAAAGTGAGCAGAAGAATTCAATTATAATTAATAAGGGTGTTTATACCCTCATTCATTTTGGAAAAAAAACTTTAGAAACAGCAGGAAATCCACACATGCCCCCTATCGTAACATGAACAATCACAGATTCATAGGTATTCAACATATGTATTTGGAATGAATTCATAAGTAAATAAAGACAAATTTTGAGAGCATATCTTCACACTTGTCCCAGAGATATTGCCACAGAGAAAAATATTTAATGCTTATGATCCATCTTTTAAATAGCGATTTTTTTTTAAAGAAAGTATTTTACCCCAAAGAGCAAGAGAAACAAGAATACGAATACTCTGGGAATGGTATAACCTCTATATAACAAAATAAGAACTCAATCTAGTAAATTCTGTTTTCTTTTATAAGGTCAACTTTTTCATAAATGAAATAACTGCTTATCAAAAAAAATTTCAATTGAAATTTTAGATTTCCCGTAAATATGCAATAATTTTTAAGCTGTACAAATGGAAACTTAATTAGTGAGAGAGATTTTTGACAACGATATGCATATTTTAATATGCTATGACTCAGGATATGCAGTGGGGATAATAAATAGAAACACATCATTCCTATGAAACTGACCATCAAAACCTGTTCAACTGTCCATGGCAAATCAGCAGTAACTCACTATCCAGTGGGCCAGAGGAATTAATACCTCAATCAGGAAGCATCCTGTTGATCAGTGTGGTCAAATATATCATCCTCTCATCCTTGGAAGGCGAGACAAAGTAATGAGATCAATTTTTGTGAAACTACATGACCACTAGTAATTCATCAATTACTTCATTAGTTGAGATTGTTCACAATTTTGTAGAATAAAATATGTCCTAAATCCTTTCAGGCACTCCAATACATGTTATTAAATTAAATGGGGGAAAAGATTAAAAAGATTATAATACGATCTACATTTTATTTCCTTTCCTCTTACTTACCACCTTGCTCTACACTCCTGCCATCTCTCCTAAGATCCATTCTGCAACTTCCTTCAAAGGGGATTCTTCTTGCTTCTGATATAAAATTCACCAATAAATTTATTCATAAATAAATACAAACCTTGGGCACTTTTGGCTTTTAAAACCTTATTTTATGATTGCTTTCATGCATACATTTGCCTGTTATAACCTTCTACTTCCTTCCTTGCAATCTCTCTCTTCCTGATTGGAAGGCCTACCTTTTTTCCCGATAGCTATTCATCATCAACCATAGTTTGGGAATCTTATTTATTAACATTTATTGTCAGTGTGCCCACTGATAGGGTTGGAAAGGGCTATGGATAACTTTCCACCCTTCCAGAGAAGTATCTCATCTAGTTTTCACACTAATCCTCTTAGGTAGGCTCTATTATTATCCTCATTTTACAGATGAGGAAACAGGCTCAAACAGACTAAGTAACTTGTCAACAGTGCCTCAATCCATGGTGAAGCTGGGGTCAGGACCCATGGAAGTCTAAGTTGTAGCTCTTAAAAAATTATATTGCCTTGTATAGATAGTTCATCCTTTAATTTAATTCAGCCCATGTGAAGCATCTTCAGAAAAATACTTGTATATATACAAGCTTTATAAATCTTACTTAAGTATTCAACAAGATCTAGCTATAACATTAGCTGTATCTAGGTACACATTCAGTATTCCCCTTGTTAATCTAATATTGATGGACAACTCATCAGCTCCTATCACTAGTTTACAAATTTGTTTTTTAATCCGATTCCAGAATAAAAGAAAAAAATTCATGTGTTTTAGCAAGACAGAGGGATAAAACACATATGAACTTAATAGCTAGATCAGAGGTCCTCTTAGGAAGTGAATGAATTTGGTTGTTGTTTTTTAGGCAAAGGAGAGTCTGTTGAAAACATAGGAATAAACCAACAAAACAGACAGCTAAGAGACTCTCAAAGAGAAAGAGAGAGGAATTTGAGTTTGTCTATATGAGAAAGTGGGATTGGGTCAGAAGGATGTGAGCAAACAAAAGGCCGCCAAACAGAGTCCAAGATGCTCTGTGGGATGGGGGAGCAAGTGCAATATCCCCTGTGATACGTTTGTTTGTAAGAAACAAAAGAAACATTTATACATGCTATCTGGCATGTGTCCCTTGCATTGTGCTCTGGATCATCAGTAGAAGATTTTCTACTGTGATAATATGAGGTTCATGGTTGCTTGAATGCCAGATGGGTTTCAGGATGGGACCAAGAAGAAAATACTTTGTCCCCTCTTTCAGTGGACACTCAAGTGGCAATAAAGGAGAAGCCACAGGAAACAGAAAATATCGTCAATAAAAGCAGAAGATAGAGCAGGGGTGATTCTGAAATTTAATCCCTCAGAGACATACTGGGGAGAACTTTGGGTTTTTACCAGAATGGGGGTTTGAATCAATTAATCCTAATTGGAAAGGGCTAGAGAATCCTAGCAGCCATCATTATTACACTAGAGAAACTCAACTACCTAGCCTGTTTTTTTTTTTTTTTTAATAAAGAACAATGTTGTTTGCTAAAACCAAGGAATAGACAATGGCATAGAAGCTTCTTAAACATAAATTTGAATATATCCGCATGTGCAGTCTAGTAATCTGCTGACTTCAAAATAGCCTGATGAAACTTTTTACCTGTTAAACCTATTATTGCCCATAATGAAAGATCCTATATGCACTAATCACAACATAGAGCCTTATGTCTGATCACAGCTTCTAAAACTTCATGATACAGGGATTTTTAGTTATACTCAACACATTTTTTTCCTTCAGAAAGCGGATTGGTTGTTCTAGAGGCTGTGAATGATATAAATTGAGCTTGTAGTTGGAAGGAAGCTACAGGATCAAGCATCCCTGGGTTTCAGACAGAAACTTACTCTGAATACATTTAAAGGTATGTAGATTTTATTCATAATTTGGTATCCTTTTTATTGTGCTTATTTCTTTCTCTATGTCTCATGTTTAAAAGATGTAAATGTTTTCCACATTTCTAATACTTTGTGCCATCAACAGTTAGTTACTTGTTTATCTAGTCCACAATTTAATTAGACTCTGGTTGCTTAAATTAATGTTTTTACTTTCTATTGCAGCAAAGTATTTGTCTATATTTCTTTAGATTTTAGTTTCAGAATGTCAAAACTCTTTTGGGGGCTAAATTTTACAGCAACACATTTATTTTAATTACTTACCAATTAAGGTAAAAATAATACTTTCACAGACTGTGACTAATTAATTTTTTTAAACTTCTTATTTAATTACATTAACTAGAATTATCAAAAATGATTTTTTTTCATTAACTCAAACTTAAAAAAATTAGGAAGTAGAAAACCTCAGGGTACCTTTCATGGCCAGTATTTTTACACGTGATATTTATGTCCTATACAAAATTTAAGGACTTTCTTCTGATGGTTCTCTATATTAGCCAATAATTTGTGCCACAAAACAAAAAGCATATTTTAGGATAACTTATTTTGCTGCATGTGCCAAGGGTTTCATTTGTAGAAAAATGACAGTGCAGCCTCAAGCAAAAGGAAGACGTCATTGACTGAAAATGGAAACTTTTAGGTAGAAATCATTTAAAATTCATTGAAGAATCATGGAATATTAGTACTGTCTTCTCCCATTGGTTCAATCACATCTTTTGCTCCACATCTGGAGCTCAGAGATGTTACTAGAGGGTCTTATCTGAAGTTCTATAGATTGGAACACTTAGTACTAAACCCTACTCCTTAATCTATTTAGACAAGTTAATATCTTTTCTTAAATGATTAGTCTTTAACATAGCAGTGTCTAGGTGAACAACATATAAGACATTTCTGTGCCTCCTTGTTCTAAAAGTATAAAATACTGTGCATTTTAATAATCTTCCCAATTTTTAGAGCCAGCTTTATTCTTTTAATCATTAATTATAAATACCATTTAGCATCTATGGCTACAGGCTGTATAAGTCAAGAAAATGGCATGCAAAATCATGCAATAATAGGTCACTCATGTTCCTATAACTTAGGAACATGAATGTTGTTCAGCTCTCAACCTGAATTAAATGAATCTTCATTAGTACTGTGACTTCAGAAACAATAAAATGGGCTGAGAACTGGAAATCACACATGAATAAAGTCACTTCATAAATAATAGCCCTATCCTTTTTACTGGCAACAGACCAATGTGGATTATGTGTGTATTACAGAGCACTAATCATGTTTATGCCTGAGAAGTTATAAGAAAAGTGTGTGTTGTCTTGCATTTCAGAACCACCAAGAAATGGGTACCTGGATTTTGTTTGCCTGCCTCCTGGGAGCAGCTATCTCCATGCCTGTGAGTAAAACACCCCTTGCATAAGGCAATGTCCAATTAATACGCTTTGAAATAAAAAATCTGCCCCATGATTAGAAAACTTTAGGGCTTAAAACAGTAGAAGATCAGATGTTCTTCATGTTTACAAAGAGCTCAGGAAATTCTGTTGAAACAAGTACCTTGTAAATATCATTGCCCATCTCTAGATGGAGGAAGCTTTTGGAAGAGAATCTTGAAAGGCTTCCAGAGAATATGCTTGATCGGCCTTAGGCAAATATTACAACAATACAAGTTTTCTCTAAAACCCAATTTCTCACAAGTTTCCAAATCTCTTTCTGCCCTACACATATCACTGATGTTATCCTTTAGGGGATAAGATTTCTGTGTTAGGAATCCCCTTCTTGAATCATCCCTCTGTTCCCAGAGATCCCGTACCTTTGGGTGCATCTGCTAAGCACGTGGCTTCCTTGTGCTTGCCCCAAATCCTACCTATGCCCAATACATATTGACATATTTTTACATTCAAATGTATTAAAGACTAGGGCGCCAGACCCACTATCTCCAGACACAGGTATATAAGGTGGAGAGCTTAGATCACAGGCAGGCTAAGCAGGCTCCATCTGCTTGTTGGTGGCATAAAGAGCAGTTGATACAACCAGAAGCCAATGAGCTTGCACACCTGCCTCCTCTCTTCCTCTCTCATCCACAAGACCAAGATTCTGTGCTCTGCCTTCCTAAAATCCTGCATTGTGGTGATCCCCCATCCCCTGCGGGTCCCCTGAATTACAAATTCAACCATTTTCCCACTATCTAAGATGATATCTATCAAAAAGGTTTAGGAAAGAAGTTACCCGGCTAAAATAATTCACATCCATATGGGAGTGAATAACCCCCTTATGAAATATAAACATTTTTAAAGAATATAATAGAGTCGATCCTTAATGAGATCAATGTCTGAGGGAGATTTTCTGCGTGTCTGTCTTCTCTTACTCTCCTGGACTCCAGGGGCAAACAGAATTTCACAATGCAGGCACCAGATCCTTGGCCCTCACTTTTGAAAGGACAAACAGTCCTGGTTCAGATCATCATTCAGGTTGCTTTTTATTTTTAACTTCATCATTTTTCTGTCATAAAAAACATTGGCAGAGTAATAAAAAAGGAATGGCCTAAATGTCATAAATCAACTTTCATTTTCCACTTTTATAATGTTTCCACTTTTCTGCACCCATCTTGTTCTCACATTTATCAGTAATTTCCACCTTGTAGTTTCTTTTGTTGTGTTGATGTATTGTTTACTTTGCCTGCCAATTATGAGGAATCCCTTTAATATTCAAGTACTTGACCAGCTCCTGATCTACCAGGGAACATTTGTAGAACAATTCTTTTTTGTTGGTATTTCTTTATTGTGTAAGAGAAACATACCTCTCTCCCCTACATACAGTGAGTTATACTGACAAGCAAACTGTTGGGTGGGATAGGGCAGGATTCATTGACAGCACTGGGATGGGGGTTGTCCAAAGTTCACTGGAGTATATATGTGTGCTGGTTTTAGCTTCCAGGTCTCTTGCCATAAGGTTGTATAACCCCAGGGAAAGTCATTTGGCTGTTCTGGACCTCTTTAAAATAAGAGGGCTCCTCTTCTACACAGCATTCATGTTCAAACTGAGAGTAGACTTCAAATAGATTCAGCACTGTATAAATTTTTTTAAGTAGCTTCAATCTCTCCTAATGTGAACAATTGCATATTGACAATCTCTTCCCCTCTCTTCTTCTCTCTTCCTCTCTCTCTCCCTCTCTTTTACTCTCTCCCTTTCTCTTTCTTTCTATTCTCCTTTCTCCTTCCCCTATAAAAGCTACCACCTCATCCTGGGCACCCTGGTTATATCAACTTCAGCTATGAGGTAATTTTTCTCTTTACTAATTTTGACCATTGTTTGAGTTAACAATGCCTTGGGCTCTGTAAAGAATAGTGTGTTGATTCTTCATTCAAGATGTTCCCCAAATGGTCCTGATTTTCCAGTTCTTACACCAACTTTTCAGTTTAAACCCTGAGGGATGGCCTCAGGCCTGCATTGCCCCAGCACCCTCCTACCTGGTCACTCTGACTCAGTTTCTTCTCCTAAATATGACTATAAGCTTATCCGTCATGAACGACCACTTAGGGTGGATACATGGTAAGGCAGAAAGTAAACTCTGGCTGAAACAGCCTTGTTCTGACCCAGCCCATAAAATGTGAGGATTAGGTAAGATGCTACTTAAGATTCTTTCCAGCTCAGAAACTCCTGATTCAAAGACATTCACACAATGTGTGTGTCTCTCATTTGGTTTTGCTGAAATATTAATGACTACATGATATATGAGAGACTGTAGAGCAATTGAAAGCACACACGTTCTGGAAATCAAGTTTGAGGTTCTCTTCAATCCATTACTAGCTACATGACCTTGGGCAAATCATTTTCTCTTTGTGAAACTTTGGTTTCTTCATCTGGAGAAGGTAAATTATATTAGCCACATTTCAAAATATTGTTTGGAGAGTAATATAAGTAATAAATATGAGAAGTGCTTCGTCAGGTATAACTTGAGCAATGTTAAATACTTGTTGTATTGAGTAAATATTGTACTATTACTATATGAAGTACCCCTAAACTTCAGGGTTTCAAATATGTACTGTTCTGAAAGGAATGGATTTTTTACTTCTCTCACAGGTTCAGGAACCAATCTGTGACTCTGTTTTTTTATACAAGTTGAAAAAAAATGTTAGTAAGAATTTGAGGCAAGATCTTCTGTTCAACCTTAAAAGGTTGACATATTTGACCAGCAAATTTGAGTTTCTAGGATTAAAAAAAGTGTTTCCGCCTCCTTTTATCTCACTGTGACATCAAATAAAAAATGAAATTAATATTCTGTCACATTATTTTGGCATAATTTTGTGTTTGTTTGTTTTGCTCTTGCAATGAAGAGGAAGCACTATGGAATTAAACAGAATGACTACTTTTATTACCTCAGTCAAGTAATGAACTTCTATCACTCTCTATGACCTTACCTTAAAAATGAGAGTAATGATACTTGCTTCCTAGCATGTGAGAAAACATGGAAACACGTGTTATGGATGTAACACATAGCAAGCCTGACACATAGGAAGCACCCGACAAATGTTTACCTTCTTTTTTTTGTAGAACACATATTCTCAGGCTATCAGTATTGACAGGACTGCATTAGTGAGTCTCTATTTCCTACTGTATTAGTGAGTTTCTACACTGGATAAAAGTAAATTAAATCAAATCAAATGCATTCTAATATCTTTTTCTCTTAAGGTTCTTACCCCTTTGAAGTGGTACCAGAACATGATAAGGCCGGTATGTAGACATTTTGTTCTTTATTCCCTTAAAACAGTAGGCCTGCATTTAATTTCCCATATTAAGTAAAATATGTCTATTCCACATACAAACACTAATGGGAGATTTCGTTTGTAAAAGATCATATATGTGTACACAGTTAGAAATTCTTGCAAGGGAAAAATGAATAAAATATTCCTATGGCCATAATGGCAAATAAAACACTGCTGCTTCTCCAGTTGGAGTCACCTGAGCCAATGGTAAACCTGCCTCTCTGTTTCTCACCAGTACCCTTCCTATGGTTACGAGCCCATGGGTGGATGGCTGCACCACCAAATCATCCCCGTGCTGTCCCAACAGCACCCCCCGACTCACACCTTGCAGCCTCATCACCACATCCCAGTGGTGCCAGCTCAGCAGCCCGTGGTCCCCCAGCAACCAATGATGCCCGTTCCTGGCCAACACTCCATGACTCCAACCCAACACCACCAGCCAAACCTCCCTCCGCCCGCCCAGCAACCCTTCCAGCCCCAGCCCGTTCAGCCGCAGCCTCACCAACCCATGCAGCCCCAGCCACCTGTGCACCCCATGCACCCCCTGCCGCCACAGCCACCTCTGCCTCCGATGTTCCCCATGCAGCCCCTGCCCCCCATGCTTCCTGATCTGCCTCTGGAAGCTTGGCCAGCAACAGACAAGACCAAGCGCGAGGAAGTGGTAAGTATGCCTTGAAGCCACTACAACACAAATTCTGTGACATTGCTGCAGCAAAATTGGCCCCAGAGTTCTGAGGTCTCAGACAATCCAGAGTCAAGAGTTGCGGTAGGCAGAGGTCTATGATTCTGTTAGTTCAAGCATATTATGTATCTTTATATTATAAACAAATTTATCTACTTGGCTTAGCAACTTAGATCACAGTTTCTATGGTGGGTTACATTTTACAATAAATAAATTTCTACCCGAATATACATATTACAAAAACTCATTAATTTCAAGGGCAACAGTATAAGGGAATATCAGTTCTCTTTACATTTCAAAAATTTGACTAGTAAGAATAGTCTAGAATTGTACTGAAGATTTTTAAAAGGGGAGTAATTTTCTAGAGCAAGGAGGTACAACTATTTAAACAAGCCAGGAAAGGTAAGTGGGAAATCTCTTTAAAGACCCAAAGGAAGATTCTCTGTCTCCAGTGGTTTTCAATCTAACTTCAAGGAGGCGAAACTAAATAGACAATTCTATTCCTTTCCAGTGCTGGGATTCTATACATGAAACCTTTAGCCAGAAGTTTCCACAATTTAGCACTAAATCTTCTTCCATTACAGGCAGCTCTTACAAACGAATGGGAATAGTCAGCAAAATGACCCTTATCCACATCCATAAACTCTCATTCCTGTGTATATGAGATTATGTGATTCTAGCATATATGTGTATCCAATTGTAATTTCAATTTATACATACTATTGATGATTTACTACAGAGAAGCAGACAGAGGTGAGGTGGAAATGACCTGGATGGGGAGCCAGGACACCTAGGTTCCAATTGTGGCTTTGCCCCAAAGAGATAGCAGGACTGTAGAAGTTACTTCCAATTTATGTGTTTTTCTTTTCTTCTAATGGGGGAAAGTGATGAAATCAGATCATTTGCAAGTCTCTGTCCAAGAGAAAAAGAGCATAGTCTCTGAGTATGAACATCATAATAAAGCTTATATATGGCTTCATAACTGTGAGCATATTTATGGAGTATATGGGAAATAATTTTTGAAAATTGATTGAATCCTAAATAATGTGGTGCTTACCATTGGTTATTCTAATCTAAGATACACGTTCTCTCTTTCCATAGAAAACACATTTATTTATCCCTTTGTTGATAATTAACACCATGAACTTTATAATGTGCTCACACCTTGCCAAAGTTGTCATGTGCCAAATTTGTCACGTGGCTTTGGGTGGGTAGTTTGAACTCTTTAAAACTCAGTTTCTATGAGGAAGCAATTGACAGTAGCGGAAAACTGCCAGGGCAGGGGGTGGGACTGGCAGTTGAGGGAAACTGCTAGGGGAGGGAGGGGCATACCTCATCAACAAGGGTACCTGCATGATCAATGTTTATATGCCTAGTCCTGAATTATACCCCACATCTTTATAATAAATAAATTAATAATAAAAAACTCAGTTTCTTTTCATGTAAAGTTAGAGTATAAATACTGATATTTTATGGAGAAATAAAGTTTATTTTATGGAGCCTGGCATGCAAGAAGTACTCAATGAAAGGTAGCAATTGTTATTTCATTATTAAACACTAGGCTTTAAGTTTCTTAAAGGTAGGAGCATCCACCATGGGCACCTAATATCTAGTGACAACGAGAGAACAAAGAAATCTTGGAAATTATAGAGTTCAACTTAAATGATTGTACATTGTTTTTGACAAAATTGAAGCCATACATGTTATTGTAAATGATACTCATTGGGAATGTTTGAAAATTATTTTAATTGTTTCTTTTGCTGTTTTATTTTTTCAGGATTAAAAGATCTGAATATGAGATGGGAACTGAAGTAGACACTTCAGTTGCTTTCAGGAATGACACAAAAATACAATGATTTGTGCTTACAATCACATGACTAAGTAAATTCTGTAACTAAAAAAGTACCATTAGCAATAAAATGTTTAAAATTCATTCATGTCTTTGTGTTGAATGTAACTTAAATTTTCATGTCTTTGTGTTGAATGATACTTAAATTTTCTTATCACTTGAAACAATATAAGTGAGTATTCTTGAATAATGTAGGCACTGCTCATTGACACCTATAAATTGACAATTTGGCAAGCAAATAAGGACTATTTTTCTCTTTAGAGAAAATCTAAATTATACTATGTCAAATCTTTTTAAACAGTGGAAGTTTATACATCAGTTATAATAGTTGAAGAAGTGAAAATTTATGAACATATATAGACACTGAACCTGAACCAAATGAGGGGAAGTTTATATGAAAAATTCTTTACATTGAAAAAGATAAACTTTTGAAAGAATGTTTATTTTACAAAACAGATGAAGGCTTGGAACACTGGCTTTATACATTACACTACATTAGTAATCAAAATCTGGTCTTTTGATCTCATTCTACAGAAAAATATTTTTAATGAAATTATGTGATATGTATACTAATGTGCTGAATTTAAAATTATTTAAGTAATTTGTTTTCAAAAAAAATTTATTAATGGATCTTCAAATAGAGAATCACAGTGATTTTATATACAAGTCATTTCTTTCACTTCATAATCTTTAAGATGATAAATTGTACTGCATAGTCTTCAAAATGTTAAGAGATGCATAAGATGAACTCAAAACAAGTTTTCTATCCCACTTATATTTATATTTGAATCCCTTTTTCCTCCTATGTCCACACAGAATTGTAAACAGTCTTCACAGGGTTTATATTACACAGCACCCACAGTAACTTTATTCTAGTACCTTTATGATTAAGTCCCCTTAATCATTTTCTGGAATGAATAAACATAACTTTACTGGAAGGGTGCTGATATTCAAACAATGTGATTTCAAAGAATTTAGATTCAATTTTTAAAAGGCAAGAACACTTTTACTCAATTTGCATGGACCAAGTCTAATAAATTGAATAAACATTTATTAAGCACTCTCCAGGGCAAGGCATTATTCCATGTGCTGGTGAAAATAGTAAGACCTCATTCTTAAGGAATCTAGAATCTAGCAAAGGAATAAAATAAGCTCACAAATAACAATAAGAGAAGACCAAATGGTATGAATACTACGACAGAAGTATGGCCCAAATGCTCTGGCGAATGTGGCAAATATCCTTAGCTAGGTGTCTCGCAGCTTTTTTTTTTTTTTTTTTTTTACCACTTCTCCCTTTTTGGCAGAGCTGGAATTAATCTCAGCATTCGGCCTTCCACCATTTCAGGAGAGATAAGCCTCCTTCCCTGTCCCAGGAAGTGAATGTTCATTCCTCTATGTCAACTATGGCATCAATTACTGATACTCTCTTGCCTTTGCTGGTGATTGACTTAGAGATGGGCATGAAACCTAATTCAGTGGAATGAGGCCAAGGGAAAGTCTGTTGGGAGAGGAAGAGCTTCTGGGAAAAATATTTCCCTCTAATTAAATATATATAGATGCATACTAAGAAAAAGTGCTGTTTGTCTTTAGATCTATTTGTTTAAGAATATGATGCCTAGAATTGCCCCCACTATCTTGTGATCAGAAGGGGCAAGCAGAAAGGTGGAAAGCCCCTAGGTTCTTTATGGTATACTCATGCCCCTGAATTAACCGACCTGGGGACTCTCTAGCTCTAGATGGATGGCACACTATGCTTCTATACTAGTGTTTTTAAAGTGTAGGTCGTATTTACATCATACCAGCAAACTGATTCTCCAAGAAATATAAAGCGTATCTGGACAAGGCTAAGGAAAATTATTTTGTCAGTGACTTGCTTGAACAAGATACTGAGAGAGAGAAAGAGAGAGAGAGAGAGAGATATGTTCCAAAATATATGCCCCAACCTTTACCTTGATATAATGAGATGATTCTGTATTTAGAAAAGTCATTGACAAAATAATTCTCTCTCATTCTCATTCTCTCTCTTTCTCTCTCTCTTTCTCCCTCCTTCCCTTCCTCCACACTCATTCACACATATACACTTATGTATAACCATGCATTCATATCACATTTTGAGTTACAGGAAAAATATCAGACTTTGGACTCTGAAGACCTTTATTTCACTATTAACTTATATGCATTGCATAGGTTAATTTCACAAAAAACTAAAACTTGTCTATTAAATGCCCAAACATATTTTTAATATAATATAACCATTTTCATGGCAGTCTTCTATAATGGATATTGTTTTACCACATTAAACAAGGTATATTAATCACAATATAGCATCTTCTCGATGGTTCAGAATGAAAATGATGAACACCCATCAGCAAGATGTGTTGTCTTGAAAATAATGTTCTTATGTTTCTCTTAACTGGCCTTGTGCTGGTCTTTTGTTGTAATTGTTCCTTACTGCTCTCGGCTGTCACTTCTTTTCCTTAATGTATATCTACATCTTCATATATGTAGCTTATTTTGTATACATAGTCTCCCTCCCTAGCAAATAAAGTGTATTGGCTTTGGGATTGTTATTCTGGAAGTTCCACAGTCACTTTGAAAGTATTTTAGTTCCTAACTCCCCAAATTTTGCAGATGGTTGCCACTGACAAAATTCTGTCATTTACACCTATATGGCTGTCACCATATAGTAAAACATAAGGTGATATAATTTAATAAAAGAGAGCCTTTCTAATTTATTAAAAACCAAGTTTAGTCAACTTCCTAATATTGTAGGCATTTGGATTAAATATGAAAGAAAAGCACAAGATAATAATGAAAACAATCAAAGTCTAGGATAAAATAAATAGCAATAGTGATCATAAATGCACTAATAAACCCAAACTTATATCTAAATAATATTTAAATCAGTAAAAAGTGACAGTAGATTATTTACAATGCTATGCTATATCTTTGGAATAAAGCTAAAAAGACAGATAAACTCTTGGAATAAAGAGTTGTTACCTATTCCCACACACAAAAATTAACTCTAAATGGATCAGAGACCTAAACGTAAAATCTCAAAATGTAAGAACCTTATAAGATGCAGGAGACACCCTTATGGAAGTTGGACTTGGCAACCAATTCCTGAGCA